GGTCTATTTTACCTCCAGCAGAGTAGTTAATGGGCATAGAGGAAGCTGACCCGGGGAGAGTTTTGAAGCTGAGACACTTAGAGCGATAGGTGCACCTAATTCCAAATTTTCCACGAGGTGAGAGAAAGAGTCAATTTAGCGAGCTGTCCGAGTTATTGAGGGCCGAGTTTTTGAGAGTGAGATTCACAGAAACTTCGCTCTGAAATCCTCAGCCTGCCTTCTGCGCTTGACAGAGAAAACAGCAGTAATACTAATGAAATACCTAACCTGAGGCACCAAGAAAAAGCGCGGGAAAGAACCGTTGCCTCGGCCACTCCACCACGAGTATGGATTCGCTGTGCACGTCGCCAATACGTCAGAGAGCGCACGCGAAGAGCCACCCCGGAGCCTGTCGGGTGCCGGCCGCTCAGGATGCTGGGAACCGCCGGCTGCCCCCGCGTCGGGCAGGCGCGTCTCAGTCGCAGTGAGTGAGCGAATGCCGCTGAACCTGGTGTAGGTTTCCCACTTGAGAGCCCCGCAGATACTACCATATTTGTCCTTTACTGCCTTCGACTAGCGTAAGAGTACCAGCCTAGTTTAAATGGGGATAACATTTGAGGTCTTCTGAAAGGAATAGTAGAGGGGGGCAGTTGAGAAGGTAACATGAATACATGCAGGTCTTTGTCCAGGGAAAGTGTGCGGAGTACCCGCTGGGCCAGCAGAGGCTCTCTAGTTTCAGGAAAAATTCTCTGGAATTGTGTGATGCCTATAGTTGGACAGCTATCACTTCCATGTTGAGGCAGATTCCGCCATTTTTTTTCTCCACCTCGAAATGGCATCTTTCCAGCTTTTATACATTCTCTATAGGTTTAAAGAAAATAGAACCTTCCTTAACAGCCTGCCTTACAACAATGCATGTGAACAGTGCTTGAAATGAAGCAATAGGATCAGGCCACAGCTTTTTTGAGGTGATCTGCCTGTGTTCTCTCGGACTTGCTTGTGATAGATTAAATGTTTGTATCCATTTGACTCTAATGCTGTTACCTGTCACTTTCTTTTCTGTTCTATAACAATTATATGGTTTTTTGCTCGGTATCTATGAGCCTATTAGAATTCATATTAGAAATTAAGTTGAGAGCTTGAGGGGTCCTTGGGATGTAAGCCTTAATGCTGCCTTTTGTAACCAGGTTTCCAGATGATGGGACACAGTTGAATTTTTGACAGAATCCAATGAGTCAGCAACACAATGCACACCAAGCCCTGCAAACCGTTTATGGGTTGTGAATCTGTAACACTAAGCCTTTCTCCTTCAAACAAAAACCTATCCTAATGAAACAACTTTCTGCTAGTTTGTCTATTTACAACTCGTTCACAGTAATTAGAAAGGGTCATCCTGGCCTTTTGTATACATTTTTTAAAATGTCTATCTTCTGAGAATTTAGAGCTGTAACTTAATTCTAGTGGTACAAATTGGATTCAGAAAAATTGGAAGTTCGTGTCTAAACATGTAATCCCTAACGTATTTTGGCTGAGTCTTTTGTGCATTTTCTGGTTTTGACTATGCCAAATGTATAAAGTACAATAAAAGGGTACAATGTCATTTAAAGTCAAAACACAAAGCATTCAATTTCCACCAGCACAAGAACCTAAGATTGTGATCCTAGCCAAGTTACCTTTGTTCTGCAATATGATCCCTTCCTGCTTCTTCATTAAGATCATCCTTTTGATTCCCCAAACTTAGTATTTCCCACACCATTTTCTCTCTAAATCAGTTTCCAACCCATTTGGCTATATATGAGGGGAGCTACAAAGTCTTACTGTCCCAGTAGCCTGGACCACCAGGAATTAACCTGCTTCTTCGTGTCATTATCTTGTTCTCGTCGCATAGACAAACCCTTCACTGGGTTGTTCCTAGGGTGCTCCTGGAGATGAGACTACTGAAATCAATCAATACTGAGAAACAGAGACTCATCCACCAAAAAAATCTTTTTAAAATATTGGTTATTAAATATCAAGCGTATCAAAAATGTGAATGACCATCATTCAGTTTTAATAAACCCAACCCTTTCTCATGTGATATTTTTTAATGAAGTAGCACATTACAGATACAATTAATGCCTCCCCTGTGCACACCTCAATCCCATTTTCCTCCTACCTCTCCTGAGGTAAACAAGCCAAATTTTGGTATTTATCATTTTCATACATGCTTTTAAACTTTTATACAAGTCTTTGTTTTACATGTTCTAAAACTACTAAATCTTATAGCACATATACCTTGGTCATTTTAACTCATTGCTTTTAAGATGTAGTTAGTAAACATACTTTGTATTCTTTCATTTTAATAACCAAATACTACAAATATACCACAATTTATCCATTCTCTAATCACACTGGTTCCCAGGTTTTACAATTAAAAACAATACTGTAATGAACTTTCTGTACATGTCTCCTTGAGTACACATGCCAAGAATTCCTGTAGGATATAATACCCAGAGATTGCATTAGTGTATAAGCATCTTCACGTAAACTACTTCTTACCAAACCACTGTCCAAAGTATAACTTAAATTTTAATGCCACCAGCAAAGATGAGCCCATTGTTCCAGACCCAGCAACATGTGAAAATGTCAGGGTTTTTTGTTGTTTTATTTTTGCCCTTCTGATGATGGTGAAATGGTATCTCAATGTTGTTTTTAATGTGGAATTCTTTGATTCCTAGTGAGATTAAGCATCTTTTCTTGTGAATGACTATTCAAGGTTCATCTGTGAACTGACCATTCATATCCTTTGATCATTTCCTTGATTTATATGGAATCCTTTGCTAGTTACATGACATACAAACATGTTTGAATTTTACTGTACATAAATTTATCAGTCTTTCCTTTTTGTGCTTATGTCTACTCCAATGGCATATTCTCTGCTTTTCTATATGTTTAAATCTCTCCTTTTCATTTATGATCTTTAATCCATTCTTCCTAATATGTGGAGTCTGGATAAACTGACAGCACAATTTGTGCTTACACATCACTTATACCCTTTCATTAGAGGTTACTTTCACCTTTCAAAAATATTTTTACCAGGAAGTTTGATTTTGATCTTATATAGATATCCTAAGTATCTTATCAGCTATATTATGAGTATTTATGTACCACATTTCTCTAAGAGTTTCAGAGAATTTTCCCTCCCATTATCTTTAAATCTTAGACTGTTAGCATCATATACTCTAAAACTAAGTTTATACTTTAGTAGAATAATCTTAAAGAATAGGTTTCATATTCTAACAGAAGTTATTATAATTGCATACCATTTGTGTGATTCTGATATAAGCATGAGTATTAAATTTCATTCCAAAACACAGTTAAGTATACCAAACGTCCAATATTTAGATATTTATTTTACACCCTTTGCATGTTAAATGTACCCTCACGGATATAAGTACAATCTATAGGGCAAAAAATTCCCTGTAGTATAATTTAGCCAAAACAACTGAGAATATTTCAACATTAAATATAAAGCAAAAATGTCTTTTTAACCATAGTTGAGTGGTATGTGCAATTTAAACCAATGATAAATGTCCAATAAGGCCATAAAATGTTCATAATAAAAGATTTCCTAATAAATATCAGTAAGCTTTTATTCATCTGTTCCTCACATACATAAGTTGTTTTCACAGCCATTCTTTATTGCCTCTTAAAGGATCAAATATCATAAACAGATAAAGAATTTTAAGTAGACTCATTGGTACCCAGATAGTTTAATGTACCTATAGATAGATTTTACATCATAGTCACAATTTAAGTCCCAGTTATTCCATGCAAATGTTTTGTTGAAATCTCATTAAAATGGTTGCCATTTTCCAGGAACTTATAAAATAAAATCAGTAGAGATTTTAAATCACTTCAAATATTTTCTGAGTATCTAATCTGGGCCAAGCATTAAGGATAAGGAAGTTGCCCTGCTTCATGGAGTTTACAATCTAGCAAAGAATCTAAGAATGGTAAAACATTTTATTCTTTCTTCTGCTGCCTCTTACATTTTTGCAAGTTGATGCTATAAACCATTTCTGGTGAAAAAAGTCAGCGTCCATCTTTAATGTGAAGAACCATCTAACTTCATACTGCAAAGAAAAGATATTTTTAATATTGCCCTGAATATGTGAGCAATTACTCAGTAGCAAACTGAGTAAACCATTTAAAATTTAAATGTAAATGACATCAGAGTAGTATAATGTTTCAGTAACTCCCAGAATCAATTCACTAGAATTCTTTCTTTCAAAGCCCTATATCAATGCTATCCAAATACTATTGCGAAGGGTTCTATATCCTATATTCTATAAACTATATCCTATTTTAAATTTAGTTTAGTTTTAGTATTTAATTTTTTTAAACCACAGGTACATTTTTTAAATCTAGAATTACAACCTGCTTTGTAATTGTTTGACTCAGCAAAAATAAGAAGGCAGTAATGGACAGCCAACCCATCCCCATGGTACTCTGAGACAAGTCAGCTTAGATATATGATGGTCTAAAATCCCACTACCTAAGGCTCCAAGTAGTGAGAGGAACAGCCATCAAATTTTATCTCCAATCATTTTAATAAACATTTTAATAAATGTTCTAAAAAATATTTATTAAAAATTAATACATCAAGTGACTCTTATAGGAATCACTACATCTAAATTTTTAGAGTCAGTCAAGAACTAAAAGAACCATTAAATATCAACTGGTCCAGCTAGATAGACAAAATGAGAAACTAGATAATAAATAACATCTTTAATTGCCTTTTAAAGAAATAAAATTTGTAGCGCCATAGCTGCTAGCCATGTCACAAAGCTGAATTTTCAAAGATTTACATGTATGTCAAAGCTTCTCAATTTCATCATAAGACTCACCGTAAAAGAAAAATGTTATCATCATCTATGGTATATCCAGGACTTACAGCACCCAAGAGTTCCAAGGCTGGGAAAGAAGTTTCTAGAAACAAACTCAGATTTCAGTCTCCTGAAATTTCATTTCTGCCAAAAAATAGCCAAAAGCTAAAAAGGTACTTCAAGTGTTGATGTTACTTTGAATTATTTGTATTTCCTATATCTCATCCTCACATGTACCTGATCCTCTGCTATAACATTGCAGGCACAGATAAAGAATACAAGCCTGTCCCATCTAGGTTACTTAAAAATAATTTTAAATTATATAACCCATAAATATAATAAAGTCAGAATATACAAGTTAACCCATAGAACCCAATTCTAGAGACAATAATCTCAAATATTGGAGTATATCCCTTCAGATGATTTAAGTAAATAAGTACATAAAAATGTTTAAGCAGAAAAAAGATTATGTGTATTGCTCTGTAACTTGTTTTTAACTTAATGTATCATGAATACCTTGTCATTTCAAGAAAGGTAAACATAATTTTTAAACAACACTGTATGGTGTTGCATTATATGATCTTGACAAAATTGATTTAACCAACTCTGAGATTCTCTTAATCTTATATAGAGACTGATAAAAGAGTGATTAGTTAAAAACTACCAAGTTAAATGGTTGATAGAATTATATCAAATATCAGTGCTTTTTCTGAACTGTTTCAATTTTTAGATTAAAGATTCTCCACCCTAGTTCTGGCTATCTCAAAGAGACCTTTTGATCAAAAGATGAAAGCACAACAAAATGTTTTAGTATCAAATGCATAAAGATTTAAGAATTTCTTGGGATCACAGGCTAGAACCCAGTAAATATTTCAAGAAGCAGAATTTAATTCCAGGTGTTTGCCCTAGCTTTAGTCTGCTCAGAGCATGTATTTAATCAGGATGATCAGCTGAAACACGGACTTAACATGCATTTCATCATGGCAAACTGTAAATGACTGGTGAAGGGCAAACCACCACCAGCTCCTCATCCCTAAACCAGGAAAACTCTCTTAAGGTTAGAACCAAAGCTTTTCAACTACTAAATCTCAGCCACTATGAACACTGAGCCCCAAAACTTGCTAGGTGATTAAAAATCCAAATGAAGTAAAAATGAAGATTTTTCTTTCACACTTACCTCTGGTATCATATGAATTCAGCTTCTATCTAGGAATGAAGTTGAATTATAGAATCTACCTAGTGTCATCTCTGGAAAATAAAAAAAATATATAGAAAGGTTATGATTACAAGACTTGAATGCATACCAGCCTACTCCACACCATATCACACCCATATAGCCTCGAGGAAAATTAACCTCAAGGAAAACTCCTCATTTTCTATTTGAATCTCCATTCAGTAATATAAATTGACCCATCTATTTGTAGAATGTCATCAAATACCTAAATTCAGTATCAGATTAGGGCAGGACTTCTACACAACCTCAGCTCTCTGTATAAATTTAAAAGTTTGGGTAAAACTATGCAATAACTAATCAATCTCTGAACAATTATAAGTCAACAGCCTCACAATAAGAGAACAGGTATATAAAAGGAAGTAGCCAAACCATGTGTTGGCATCAACCAGAGCTTGGCAGCCATGGGAACAAATGCAGGGAGATGAGGAATAAATAGCATGGGTTACTGCCAGTTTCAACTCTGTGGGTTTGTGTGACTGCAGAACACATGTAAACAGTCATTAAATTCAGAAAATCCTAAAAAAAAAAAAAAGGAAAAAGCTAAGGTTCAGATAAATGAGAAGATAATCCAAAGTATTTTTTTTCAATGCATGTTTCAATTTCATTTGAGCTAATACTGATTCTATTTAACTAATACTCTTAGTAAACTTTTTGCACAATAAAGAAAACCTTCCCTTGACAGCAAACTTGCATTCACATTGCTTGGAGTCCAAGTCAGCCACAAGGTGGCAATGTAAGAAACTCATTTCCTCTTCCAGAGCTTGACTGTATTTTCAGGTGAAACAGACTGGACACAGAATTAATCACTGCAGGGAACCTTCACACTATTCTCTATTCTTCCCCTAATTACTAACTAGAAAATTTTCTCTTACATTTAATGATCATTTAAAACTTATTAATGAAAAATATTTCAATTATATTTCTATCATGTTGCTTTTCATGCCACAATGTGGAGATTTAAAAATTCATAACCTCAAATACAATCTAGCTGGAAAAACAAGACTCATGAAAATTAATGTCCATGCTAAGTACCAAATAAGTGGTAGAGAGGGCAAGTAATGTTAAGAACAGAATCATTGGTTAAGGTAGGCTTGATGAAGATAAAAGCAGGTCTTGAATGGGCTTTAAAGTTGCACTTAAAATACAGTATTGTATATTTGAAAGTTGCTAAGAGTAGATCTTGAAAGGTCTCATCACATGAAAAGAAAAAAATGAAAATCGTAACTAGGTGTAGTGATGGATCTTACCCGGACTTATTGTGGTGATCATCTTGTGATATATACAAATATCGAATCATTATGTTTTATACCCAAAACTAAGATTGTCATATGTCTGAATTTTTAAAAATTGCGTTGTCCAATAAAAATTTATTGGACAATAAAAAGTGTCCTGTAAATAAAAAGTTATATTTAAAATTCCTCAGGCACACCAGTCGCTTTTTGTTGCTTCATATCCACATTTGGCTAATGGGTACCACACTGGACATTACAAATATAGAACATTTCCATCACTGAAAGTTCTGTTGGACAGCAGTGCCTTGGAGGATAGGTATGACTAAAATAAACTGACAGAACTATAGAAAATTGTTTTACCAAACTTTACAACAAACCAATATTTACAAAGAAATCTGAGGCTCAGAGAAGTTAAATAAATTTCCTAAGGTCAACTAGCTGTTAAGAGCTAGGATTTTAAATCCAGTTCTGTCAAAACTGCCTATTTTCATTTCAATATGCCACTATCTACATAAGAAGCAAAGCTACAGAAGATGGTTTGCTTCAGAATGTAATGAGAACATACTGGCTCAGTAGGTTGGAAAGAAACAGGTGTTTTAAGTACCTCAGAGATATAATCAAAGTGTTGTTCTACTCTTTTCTGTCCTATACTTGAAAGTTTTAATTATGAAAAATGTTTTCAGATCAGCAGCATTTGAGATTAAATAAGGGACCATCGACAAGAAACAAGACACGAAGTCAGAGGTTCCTATAGTTTTAATAATGTCTACCTCAAAACTCCATGATCCAAGTATTCTTCTTACAGGAGAATAATTATACTGGTGCTCACAGCCAAAAAGTTCATTTTATATATGTAAACAGATGCTTCATGAAAGCCTGAGACAAACTAAAACTTGGTAATACTAAATCAACTGATGCTTCTGTTTTATTGAGTTTTTCTCAGACCCTACTGTGTGTCTAGCAATTTGGGATACAACAGTAACTCAAAGAACCTCCTACCTTTTTTCGATAAAAAAAAGACATGTACTTGTGACACAGAGAACACTTTAAGGCATCATATCTTGGTCAAAGTTCAAGTACTTGCCTTTATGGTCTCATCAACCTATAACCATTCCTAATGAGAATGTCCAAATCCAAGCTCGCTTGTTTTTTAGGGGGTCCGCAGATGTTATAGAGGTTTTCACAGTGCCACTTGAGCCGGTACACAGGGTGCTGAGACCCAGGTCTGCCTTCCTCAGTAGATTCCATCTTCAACTTGAAGCAAAGGAAAATACAAAACTTTGTAAATGAAGTATATGCTAAATCGGTTGCTTGGCATAGTTCTCTTTTAGAGATAGCTCTGTAGGGCGCTGCTATCGGAACAGACTCCCAAGTTTTGTTCCCTATTCACTGTCAGCTGTTTTAGCCCAAAATACTGATTGTTTTAACCTCTTAGTACAGGAGGAAACCACTCAGAGTACATGTGAAATAAAAGTGGTGAGATAAAAAACATGACTAACCATGCAGTTTGTCCCAAGAGACCACCCTTTCACTCAGTCCCAGTCCCATTGCTGGTAGAGTGAATAAAAATGGAATATAAATATAGAACTTGAGGGATTCAGATCAAAAGAGCAGGAAGGAATGACTTATAATCAGTGCAAGAGGAAGTAAAACCTTCTACCTTGATATTTTATCTATTTCATAATAATTAGCCTATAGTACAATATATAAACCACTTTTCACATATTACCTCATTTTGCAAGTACTATGTCATCTCCATTTTATAGATTTGCAAGCATGATTTAGAGATTATAAATGGCAGGCAATTTAGCTTAGTGTTTAAGGTAATGGATTTTGAATTTGCACAGAACTACATTTGAATCATGACACCCTTACATATTTGCTGTGACCTTGGGCAAGTTATGCAGCCTCTCTAAGCCTCAGATTCCCAATGAGGACAAATACCACCTACCTCTTAGAACTACTGTGAAGATTAAATGAGGTAAAATAAACATAAAATACTTTAATATTTAATATGATGTTTCTATTAAGTATCTAAGCTCAATCACCTACTAAGTAGAAATGCAAATATTCAGCCTAAATATTTCACTTTTCATAACAATCTTGAAGCCAAGAAAATCACTCATATAAGAGCCCTTCCAATTCCAAGAGTTTACTTTCCCCTTCTTTTCATTTCTATACTTAACAGCAAAGACTCCAACACATTCTATATAGTTACTCAACAACAAAAGCATACTTCCATTGGAAAGAAACTAATTTTTCCCCAGTTGGCAAAGCCTTCTAACCGTAAAACTAGATGTTTCACAAAACATGATCTTAGCCTTTTAAGACTTTTTAAATAGCTTTGGAGGAATTCCCAAAGGCTTCCTTTTTTAATTTGCATGTTTACATCCCCCCAAATTTTCAGTTTTTCCTAACTTAATGCTAAAGTATGAGTTTACTCATATGTCAACACCATAATTTCAGGAAAATATCCAGCACACATTATGCTAAGTAAACACTGCAAGCATGCCCCTTCTGCCCTTGTGAATATAAAGACCATGTGGTTTCTCTGGTTGATGTTGTCATTCCTTCTCAACATTACACCCTTTAAACTGAAGTGGGCAAAGATGTACTCACATAAAAGCCAGCATGGTGTTGCTTTTAATAGAAAATCTTTAATCACTCAATCAAGGTATTTATGGTGATGGTTGGTTTCTAGTCATCACTATGTGCACAAAATAAATACAACAGGAAGCGCTGCATATTGAGTCCTAATAAACAAGAATTTATTAAAACCCAGCTGAAGTGTCACATGTAAAGGAAATAAGACTGTAAACTACCTAAATGTCTGACAATAAAGGCTGAATAAATTATGGTATATTCATGCATTAGATTACTTTGTAACCATTATAAAAAATGTGGGTGATCTTTATTTTCTCATTTGGAAATCTTAGGTGGGGAAAAGTAAGATACACAGTAGAGTATTTATATAGAAAAGGGACAACGTAAGTACATATATTTGCTAATACCTGCATGAAATATCTCAGGAAAAGAGACACCAGAAACGGTTAACACTTATTGGGCAGGGAAATCAGCTAGTTTGGGGGACTTCGTTTTACTTTGTATACTTACGTATACTTTCATTACTTTTGGATTTTGAATCATGTGAATGTTATTACCTATTAAAAAAACATTAACAATAAAGCTTGAGAATTATAAGGACTATAGGAGGGCTACAACTGGCTATTACTACATTCCATATAATAGTTTGTCTTTCTTATACCTTCTGCCTGTAAAAGATAACCAATACATACATTTTATTCACACTAATGTATATCAAGTGAGAATTTGGGAATCTGGTGAAATTACACTCAAGGTAACTAGGCAAAACTTTTTATGAAAAAAAAAGGATAATAAATGTAATGCTCACTTCTAGAAGTTACCTAACATTATACACCAGCTAATGCCTGGCCTTCATATATTTTGATCCTCAAAACCTGAGCCTCAGAATGGTCACTCACTCACCAGAGGTCACTGGAAGAGTAAATTGTGGCAGTGGAACTTGATTTAGCTTGCACTAAGCTAAGGCTCCAGATTGTATTGAGGATATCTTAAGCTTTTTAGGGGACCCTCATCACAAGGGTGACATTAAAATTGGGAGCTTCTCTTAGGGCTCACTGACTTCAATTTGCTACTTAGTCTAAGAAAACAAAGTCTCTGAGCAAAGACCAGAGCAAAGACCAGGGCAAAGACAACGTCCACTGCAGCTCACACAAACCGAGCAAGGACCTGGGACCTGCAGACACAGAAGAATTAATATCTACTAGTATGAACTCCTCCCAAGACCTAACCTCTCGCGTAGAGAAATGTAAGTCAAAACAGCACTGGGATAATTATACCCGCCAGCAAAATGAGTACAGGCATTTTCCAGGAACACATGTACTCTGTATATGAAACAGAGTCTATTGTTACAACATCACCTGGTCTAGGGGAAGGAAGGCAGACCCAGTACTGCAGGAGCCCACGTGGATACAAGCCAGGCAGAGCATTTCACCACCTTCCTCCAATATTCACCAGCCGAATTTAATTGCCTAACAAGGCACACACATACACTTCAATGCTGGCTTGAAATAGATGCCTGCCACCAGGATACATGGCTTGAGTGGAAGAGAAATTCAAAACAATTAGGAAACAAAATTAAGTGCACACTCACCAGCCCACCACAAACCGGAGAGAAAGAAAGTGAAGAGACAGGAAGTGGTTTTAAGAAGTGGCCTCTGAGTCTGATTGGTTAATGAGTTAAAGGCAAATTCCCTCCTCCTTTACCTTAAAAGGTACTGAAATGACACAACCCCCTCCTTTATCTACTTATCACTTTGTTAACCAATAAGGCTACCTGTTTTAGGTTAATTTTTTTTAAACCAAGTTTCCTTTTGAGTTAATGTACTTAGTACAAGCAAACACAGGCTAATTCAGGCTGTTTAAACACATCCTTGTTTAGATGCGCCTACTGCAAACAATTTTCATTCCTTTAGGATAATATCCTATCTTTTGTGATCTCAACATAGTTAATTTATGCAAGGTTTCATTCGAAACAGTCTAGATCTGTTCAAATTAGAACTTACCTTCAGGGTAATATTCAACTTAACAGGCTTAGTGGATAAAAGATGGGTGGTTAAAGGCTTAGGCTTTGAAGTACAACTTAGATGTATAAACAAACCTTGTTAAACTAAACCTTTTCTTTCTAGCTACTTTTATCACCATTTAATACCTTTAGCTCATACCCTTTTGATTTGTCAATTTTTTACAAATTTATTGTTTCTTTGACTAAAAGGCATAAAAGCTCCTGCTCTAGACACTTCTTTGGGTCTTTGTTCTCTTGTGAAGTCTCCCATGATCATGTAAAAATTCAATAAAATTTGTATGCTTTTCTCCTGTTGATTTGTCTTTATCAGTTTAATTTTTATTTCACAGCCCAGCCAGGGACTTTAAAAGGATTGAAGAAAACTTTTTTCTCCTTTATGATGGCAAATGAAAATCTCTATTTCAAGGTGCTGTACAAGGATATTCTAGGATGTGTTTCACATTTAAGTCATTTACAGGATACTTTCTAGCTGCATAATCTGGAATATATTCTGAGACTCAATTTTTCTTCTCTGTATCATGCGGATAGTAATACCTATTTCTCTATCATATATGGAAATATATAAAAGAGTCTAGCATAACGACTAGCCCATAGTATATACTCTATTCATATCCTCCTTCCTTCCTTGCTCATTCCCCAATTCTTATAATTGGAGGAGGTGAAAAAGTAACTTTTGTAGGAGTTTGCTTATGCTAGTCTATTTGTCTACACATCATACAATTTTTTCTGTATACAAGTAAAGCAATGGAAATCAGGTTTCACTCCTAAATTCTTGTGGTCACAGACCTACACTCACCCGTAATTTCCTACTTTAACACTGGCAAGGTTACTTTGCAGATTTTCTTCTTCTCCGATGAGAGATGCCAGTGGATCATTTTGGAATCCCAGAAGGATGAATGGAAGGCTCTCTGAAATCATTATGGGAGAACTACTTTAGTAAAGAGTTTTGGAATACCAAGATTCACAGAGATTCACAGACCCTACATGTTTTAAGGATTGAGATGAAGATGCCCAGTCTTTAAAGTGGATTCCTGAAGAGGGAAATAAAGTATCCAGGTCCTGCATCCATTGGATTGCAAATGCTAAAATTAGCTGACTCTACAGTCCTATAGGGGTTATTAAAACTGTGGACCCTTGAGTGGCTCTAAGTGAAACATTTTTCACCTTGATTGGCACTAAACAAGAGCAATCATCGGCCCTCAAAGAACCTTGCTGATCTATGCAATGATCTATTAGAACAAGATGGTCATTCCAGGACCATAAAATAGTGTGACCATATCAAGTGACAGTGAGTAAAACAGGTTCTTGTGTTTTAGGATGCATTCAAGAGTTGGGCTGCCTCTCCCTCAACCATGGGCCTAAATACTCTTAGACAATTCGGAGGAAGAAAAGGGTATGTTCTTAGCAAGGTGTTGGGAAACAACAATCTCCCCACCCGCCACACACACCCTGAATTTGTGGAAGAATTCATTTTGTTTATTTATCTATAGTTACCAAATGACATAAACATTATACGGTATCACAACAGATTTAGCTCATTATCCCCAATGGTTGATGGTACCATTATAAACAAAAATATAAACAAAAGAAAGCAAACAAAACTTCCCCCAAAAAACACCCTTTCAGAAAAATTCCCTTGTCATCTCCCTCTTTACTCAACTCCTGTGACAGCTACTCTTTGGTTGTTATGTAAAAGTCTCTTTTAATCTAAAACAGTGCAATCCATATTATTTTTTTCTTATAACAACTTATTAAAGGGAGTAGGCCAGTTATCCTGTGAAATATAAACTTGTATTTTTATGCCATGTAAGCCTGCACATTTTCCCATGTACTTTCTTATCATAATGCAAATTATTTATTCATATCTTTTGTCCACCTAGTTACAGAGGTTTTGATTTTTTTTTTATAACTTTGAGACAGCACTTTATCTGTTAAGCACATTTGATTCAACTTTTGAATACTCCACAGCTTTCCTTTAGGCTTTTTCTCAAATTCTTTCACTTTCTTTTTTAAGAATAATCAAACATATTTTCCTCTGTTTTCTTGCTTTGTTTAGAAAATTATCATTCACGGTACATTTGTTAAACAGTTCTTTCTAGAAATTGATATGTTTTAATACTATTTTAGTTATACTTATTTTGTATCTGACTATTAAAAAGTCATATCTTCAAAATACATTTTCATTAATTCTCACTGACCACCTTAAAAAAATAACTAAAGAGAAGAAAAAAAACTCAACGAAAACTAAAAAGATAAAGTTTTTTAAATGTGTGTGGGATGATAAGTACTGTCGTGAAACTGAAGAATACATTAGCCTAGTGGAGAAAAATAAAGTTTGGAGCTACCCAAGATCTGACCCTTTCTCTTACAAATTGTGTTATGGGCTGAACTGTGCCCCTCAAAATGCATATGTTGAAGTTGTGACCCCGAGTACCTCAGAAGGTGACTGTATTTAGAAGTTATGCCTTTAAAGAAGTAATTAAAGTACAATACGTCATATAAGTGAACCCTAATCCAATATCAGTAATGTCCTTATAAGAAGAGGAGATTGGGACACAGACACACACAGAGGGAAGACCATGCATGGGAACATACAGGAAGAAGACAGCCATCTACAATTCAAGCAGAGAAGTCTTAGGAAAATACCAATACCAACCCTGCTGACACCTTTATCTTAGATTTCTAGCCGTTAGGTAAAGGTAAGTGAGAAGACCATTTCTATTGTTTGAGCCACCCACTTGGTGATACTTAGTTATGGCAGCAAACTAATAATACACTGTGCGACCTTGAATAAGTTACTTAAAGTTTTCTAAAGCTCCATTTCCACAGATGTAAAATGGGGATAATAATAATATTTACCCTCGTTGGAGTGTCATGAGAATTAATATAGTAAGTATTAAATTCTAGCTATTATTATTATGATAAATGAAGTTATGCATGTAAAGCACTTAGCTCAGTGTCTAGTACACAAAGAAAGCTCTACTCAATATTCTTAATAAATTTATTTTATTATATTTTCTTATCTCCAATTAATGCTTTTTGGATCAAATTTATTTGTGCCATAATTGTCAAATGCAGCAGGCTTTGATTTACCACTGAAACAGATCAACCAATCCAATACAATCCAACAAACATTCGTTGAGCACCTACATTTTATCAGATTTATTCCCAAATACTTGTTATACTTTGATGTTATTATAAATATCTTTTCTAAAAACTTTATTTCTACTTGTTTGAAGCTCTTATAAATCTGCAATTTATTCTTATGTTACTTTTTATCAGAGATCTTGTTAAATGCGCTGCCCCAGCCCTCCATGGGGTGGTAACACTCAAACATTTGAGAGCCCTTGACCTAATGTCACCAAGTACCTTTCTAAAGTCCAAATGACCAGGTTTCTCTGCCTTCAAGAACTCCTGAGTTACTCATCCTCTTAGCTTTCCTTTCTTTTGACTCTCTTTTACGGAAAGGGCTCTGCAGTTTCCTTCCCGCTTCTTTCCTAGTCAAGCTTAACTTTTCCCAAACTTCCACCATGTGCTTACTTCAGAACTTCTGTAATAGTATAGCAGTTAGGAGCTTCACTTTTTCAAAGCTACCCAGTGCAGCAAAAGAGGACGGGGGAGAGTAGTCTGAATTGGGTTATGAGGTCCCCGGACGAGGTACCTCACCTCAGCCATTGAACTCACTTAGCTGGCCGTGAGTCTGTTCCAAGCTTCGGCGAAGGAGGCATCCGCCAGGCCCTTTCCCGGGGGTAGGGGTCCTTGGCATCTCCTGCCCAGTCTGCCCTCGCGCGAAGCCCCGTTCTCTGGGAACTCACCTCCCCGCAGTTCAGGGAGAGCCCTGTTGGGGCCGCTTTTGGCCCTAGTCTCAGACCTTCCCAAGGGACATGGGGTAGAGTGACGCGACGCACTCAGCTCGTGGCCCCACCGATGAGCTTCCCTCCGCCCTACGAGAGAAAAAGCCTGCACGCAGAATATATAAGGATCCCATATCTGAAGACATTTTACGGTTACGGTGATTTCCCACAACACATAGCGACATGTAAATATAGTGGGGCATGCCTCTCCTGTCCCTTGTGGGCAGCTTCTCGCCAGAACGCACGCGCGGTGCGTGTTCCCGCCTTGTGACTAAGTTGGCGAGTCAGGGAGGAGATTGATGATGTCATCATCGTCAGCTCACCCGCTCCATGGCGGCTCGGCGTCGGGGCACTAGCAGCAGCGGGGCGCCAGGTTCGGAGTTCATTATTGGGGGCAGAATGCGGGGGAGGTGGGAAGTCGGAAAGGAACGGCGCCCTCTACTGTAGCCCCCTCCCCCTTCCGTCACCCTCTGACCCGCGTTTGGCTACCCAACTAGTTTTGGGATTTCGGTTTTCAGAGATTTTTGGATTACAAAAATGTAACAGCTAACATTGTGCCATCACTATTGTAAATATCTAATGTCATCGAATTAAAAGAAATTAATTGTAAGATGCATCGTTACTTTATGTACCACTAACAAAGGAAAACTGCTTCCAGTTAAAACATGATTCACTGCTTATATGTCATCCATTTCAAGAGACATCCCAGTTTCAAAGGTAGTAAAACGCAAGTCTTAGAATTGATGAGGGCTGTATGTGCAGAGATGAAGTAACTTATGCTAGGTTCCATAGCTAAAAGAGTCAGAGCTGGGCTCTAAGCTTGGGCATAGACTCCAGAGCACTCTAGTAATTATTATCTCATACTACCATAGGCAGTTTAAGGATAGGTGTTTGGGGAATATTGGACACAGCAGAAGAGATAAGCAGATTATGAGATTTATGCTTCAGGCTATGAACTCAGGAGAGCCCTGTGGCCCCCTTTTATTTAATTTCATTTTGTTTTATTTTATTTGACTAAAATAGCAATGTAAGAAACAATTACTCAGACTGTTATCAAGAATTGTTATTATTTCTTTGTAAACTTAAAAAGCCATCCTAAACCATTTCTTTAAAAAGATGATTTTAAAGAAGGATCATATTCACTGTGTACTTGTTCTTTGTTTTGTGTCTTTGCCAATTCTTCTTGCCCTTAGCTTCTATAGCATCAAATGAAACTCAAAGAGTTAATAATGGCAACACAGCTACAGAAGACCCTCCTGCCAAGAAAACTAGAAGATGCCAGAGGCAGGAGGTGAAAAAGGAGCCTGTGGCTGGAGGAAAAGCTGATAAGGGCAAAACAGAAGATAAGCAAGGTCAGCTTGGTGTGGTAGGCCAGGGAGGACATGGGCCACCAAGGTCTATGGGAGGGGTGAGGGTGGAAGATATCTTGTTCTTTCACCTCTTATTCCTGAAGATATAATAAATTTTCTATCTTTTTGGACATACCACAGGACTAATCTACTTTCTTGGGAGCTTCCATTTCATGTATTTGAGACAGATTGAGGCCTGGGCAGATCAGGATTGCTTGGGAAAAGCAGTTAATTATGACAGATTTCTGTCTAACCACGACAGCTGTTTGATTCCCATACAAGTAGTACAATTCTGTCTTTCCTCAGAGTCTGTGAAGACCTTGCTGTTAAAGGGCAAAGCTCCCGTGGACCCAGAGTGCACCTCCAAGGTGGGGAAGGTGAGAGACTCCTTGGCCCATTGACTTCTGAGAGCGGTGTTCTGTTGTTATTGGGATTCCCATCTGGAACATTGCTAAATATTTTACGAATACTCTGCAACATATTACTAGTGATTAATTTTCTCTAAGGCTGAGATGGGAATGGTGAGGTTTGGGGTTGATAATTGGGGTGATTTTAACATGGTTGACTTCTAGGGTTGTCATCAGCTTTCCACACCTCATTCTCTTTCTCAGTTAGAAAATTATGTTATCAAAGAAGAAATGAGAAACTGTGCCCGGGAATGGCATGAGTTACTGATGAATGGGAACAGGATTTGAAGAATCCAAAAGAAAGGCTTCCTGTGGTGCAGGTTTCCTTTAACTGAGTTAGAATCATTTGTTTCTGTCACTACAAAAATGCAACATGTTTTCTTGTCAGGAATGGCAGATTATGAGTGAAAGAACATACTTTTCCATTTCTTTCTCTGGAAGATGGATGTTGGTAGTGCCAGAAAATGACACCTTGAGGGATAAGAAAATTTAGAGCCTCATCAAGGCTGAGACTATACAAATGTCGATGTTTTTCTTTTCTTTGTAGGCCCATGTTTATTATGAAGGGAATGATGTGTACGATGTCATGCTAAATCAGGTAAGTGGAGGAACCATTCTATTTATGGGAATTTCTTCTTGATAATTATTGATGACAGTGTCCCAATGCCTAGATCTTTAATTCTGGAGTCCCTATATTAGCCACTGTCATATTCTCTAGTACTCAGCCCTAGTATAGTCAATCTGATAGTGGAATCCTAAGTAAGAAGCAGATCTTTTTGCAGATTTCTCGTCTTTTATTGAACCTATGAACTCTGTTCATATCATTTTGCTCATTTTCTAAGAGATTGTGTCATAGCCACCAGCCCCCGATAGACACACAGACCACCAGAAATCAGTGAGTTATAGGAAACGCACTCTTTATTCAGCCAGCTGGGTCTGCCAGGAGTATGCAGACCCCAAATTAAAGCAGCCCCGAAATGTAGAGGTACAGGGTTTTTAAGCTGTAAACCCCATTCTTCATCCTATTTGAACACACAGTCTATTTTTCTTCTTTTTACTAACTGTCAACCCACAGGTTGGTTGTGCACACGGGGGTACAGAAGCAGAAAGCTTATTGTTAGAGCGTTATGTTCCCATGGGCGATAGCCAAACAGTAATTTTCCAGCCAGCACAGTTGTTGGTATTTTTCTTACCGGATTCAAGGAATTTTATATAATTAATGGGGAATAGTCTTTCATCTATAATATAAATTGCTTATATGTTTTCCAAATTTGTCATTAGCCTTTTGGTATTTTTTAGGGTATAGTTTTTGCCCTTATTGGAATTAAAAATTTTTATGTTAAATTTATTTATTTTTCTGTTTAACCTTTTTGTCTTTATTTGCTTATTTTTATTGTTTCAAATATGTAATACATTTGCCTGGTTAATATATTTCCTGAATATCTCTTCATATTTGAACTTATTGATCCATCATGTATAATTTTAACAGCTACCTAGTATTCTTTTGTTACTGCTTTTATCACTTAAAATTTCATGCGCAGATAAAAAAGATTTTAAGGCCCCTTTTTGTTCTAACATCCTATGACTTTATAATGTAAGCAGGCAGGAGGTAGGAAATGGCAGCACACCTAACAAAGAAGAGTACCTGGATAACCAGGACTCGACCTTATAGCAATAGCTGCTGCTCCTTATCAAGGACTACTCCCGCTCTTCACTCTAAATTACTTACCTCTTTTAAAATACTAGTCACATTCTCTGTGACTGCCTCTTAATCAGGTCAGGAAAGGTATGGGACAGATGTGGCAGTCGTTCTGCCTGTCCTCCATCCCCTCCTAACATTGTCCTGCTCTCACCACATTATCAAATTGCTGCAGCTGATAAAGCTGTAATTAGAACCATTAAAGAGTAAATTGTCTAAAATAAGCATAATAGTTACATACTTTGGGGCATCAAAATTGTTTTCATTTGAAAAATAATTGTTAGGAGTGGATTGGGAGCTGGAAAACACATAGGGCCTAGGAAGTACTTATGGAGGGAGCTAAGATAGGAAAAAAAAACAGAAGGAACCAATCAATGTAGGATATTGGAAGTTGGATAGGAAGTTTTAGGAAACTTCCAGGCTCCAGCTTTAATTCCTAGGAATCCAAAGTTTGTTATAGAAGCCCTAATCCTTCCTTAAATCCTTACTCTTAGAGGTATCTGATTTTCTTGCCCCATGCTATCCTTCTCCTTACCAAAATTACTGGCACCTCTGACCAAGGAAGAGTTATTGGTTTATACGGATTCTTTTTGCAAACCGCTGTCCTTTTATGTTCGTATTTGTCTCACTCATCATAGACCAATCTCCAGTTCAACAACAACAAGTACTATCTGATTCAGCTATTGGAAGATGATGCCCAGAGAAACTTCAGTGTCTGGATGAGATGGGGCCGAGGTAATGACATTTATTATGGGTTTTCTGAGTTGTCATTCAGAAAGCTAGAAGTCATTTAGTGGCCAGAGGATTCTCTGCGTTTAAATTGGTGGACTGGAAGCTCTGTAACCTGAGAGGGGCTTAGGAGTCAACTTGTGCTTTTTGAAATTGGGTATGGTAGGCATCCTCATTAGGAAGTTTGCATTGTAAAAACCATGAGCAGCCTGACAAGAGTGACAAAGCTCTGTGATTGGTCTGATAGTGTCACTCATAGACTATAGTGGTTAGCAGGTAACTAATAGCAACAAGATCAGTTCCCTAAGCCCTTTCACCTTTTTCTTCTCTTCCTGCCCATTTGTCAGATGCTAAGCCGAGACCTTAGAGAGCTAGCTTGTTACTATTAGAAAACTCTTCTTGGATTAGGGACAGGGGACTATCTTATGTGTGTTATTTACTCTGCAGTTGGAAAAATGGGGCAGCACAAGTTGCTGCCTTGTTCAGGGGACCTCAACAAAGCCAAGGAATTCTTTCAGAAAAAGTAAGTACTAAGAAATGAGCATTAAAAAATACCCTCCTTCTTCTTGGATGTATCTTCTTTAAGTATCCTATAATAAATGTGATTTGACCTAAATGTTAATGTCTCTCCACTATGACATTCTGTGACTAGAACACCAAACTGCATCCTTAGTTAGCTATTGAGTCACCTGGAACCTTGAAATTGACTGAAAACAGAAGATTTAACATATTTAGCACATGACCAGCAATTTAGGAAATTTAGGGGAAATGGAATGAGAATATCCAGCTAGAGTTAAAAAATTATTTTACTATGATATGGATGAAGAACTTCTGGACTCTCTGGGACCATTTCTCTCAGAGAGAGGGATTGGGTATGGATTTTTGTCTAAAATCTCAATGACATTTTTGGTGTTGGGGGGCCTTTGGGAAGCCTAATGGTTCTTCTCATGTTTTGTTCCCTTTGTCTTCAGAGCTTTACTGCTTATTCAGGGTCTTAATTTAGAATCCAATTGATGTGTAAAAGAGCTCTGTTGTGGGAAATAAAGTTTGGAGATGTTCTGTCTAAGGAAACAACTGTAAGCCCATCCATAGCAGTAGACCTTTATTTGTAAGATTTTCTCACCACTTTGGACTCTACAGATTCCTTGACAAAACAAAAAACAATTGGGAGGATCGTGAGAAGTTTGAGAAGGTTCCTGGGAAATACGATATGCTGCAAATGGACTACACCACCAATACTCAGGTAAACACTGACTGTACATTTAGGGGATAAACTATTTCCTCTTAACTAAGGTGAAGTCTAGCAGAGTGACTTAGATCCTAGGCCAGAACAGGTCAGGGGTATCTTGAATCTTGCTGTTTCCCACCTAAGAAAAGATCACAGTTCCCTCAGGGGTAATTTTCACTCATCTTTGTAATCTTAAAGGGACTGTAGTATGAGGATAGAATGTGCTTTTCTAGTCTGTTATTTACTAAGATTCTTATAAAATCTTGGGTCCTGTTTCCGAAAGCTTAATGTTATGGATCAAAAGAGGAATAATAGTCAAAACAGATAAAACTACATTTAAAGTTGTCTTCACTTCTGTTTATATACCACAGGAAAAAAAATAATAATTTTGACAAACCGAAGTGCAACCAGGATGCTGAAAACTGTCCTGCAGAAACTTTAGTCTCTTAGTCCGTTTAAGATGAGAAGATTTGAGACAGAATAGCTATCTTTACATGTTTAATGATATCATATTAGGAGAGCCCATTAGGCTTATTCTGAGTGTTTAACTATGGAAGGCAGAGTAGCACTAGAAGGTAGAAATCACATTGAGTACTCTAATGAGGTTAATGATAGCATGGGTCTGTGTTCAAACAGAGGCTGATGGTCACCTGCCAAGGATATTGTAGAGCCCGCCAGTCCTTGGAGGGAGCTTAAAATAGATTCTTACAGATTTTTATGATTTTTTTTTTTTTTTTTTTTTTCTATAAAATGAAGAGGAAAAAAAAAAAGAGGAATCTCTTAAATCCTCCTTGAAAACAGAATAAAAGCTAGAGTCAGATATTTTAGACTTATTAATAACTTTTGAGATTTTTTTGGTAGGAGGTTAAAAGTTTCTTGAAGTTTTTTTGTATTTTTTTTTTTTTTTTTTTTTGCTATAGAATGAAGAGGAAACAAAAAAAGAGGAATCTCTTAAATCCTCCTTGAAACCAGAATCACAGCTAGATCTTTGTGTACAGGAGCTGATAAAGTTGATCTGTAATGTCCAGGCCATGGAAGAGATGATGATAGAAATGAAGTATGATACAAAGAAAGCTCCACTTGGTAGGACTTCAGATTCTGTCCTACATTCTGTCTTTATAATGAAGAGGAAACAAAAAAAGAGGAATCTCTTAAATCCTCCTTGAAACCAGAATCACAGCTAGATCTTTGTGTACAGGAGCTGATAAAGTTGATCTGTAATGTCCAGGCCATGGAAGAGATGATGATAGAAATGAAGTATGATACAAAGAAAGCTCCACTTGGTAGGACTTCAGATTCTGTCCTACATTCTGTCTTTATATTTCATTGTTTCTTTAATGGGATATTTCATCACCATCATGGTTGAAAACTTGCTGATATTAATGAAGAAGAAGAGATTTGGGGTGAGGAGTTGTGTGAAGGGAGGTGGGACTATTTTGAAAGTTGAAAGATGAGAGTCTTTGTTGGGCAGGGACATAAATACAGTTTATAGTTGTGGAATCTGATCTCTGGCTGGACCTGCAGGGAAGCTGACAGTGGCACAAATCAAGGCAGGTTACCAGTCTCTTCAGAAGATTGAGGATTGTATTAAGGCTGGCCAGCATGGACGAGCTCTGTTGGAAGCGTGCAATGAATTCTACACCAGGATCCCACATGACTTCGGGTAAGGCCTGTGCTGCTAATTCACTTTAGTCTTCTACCCAGCCACATCCCCTACATCACTCCAGCAACTATAATCTTTTTAATCTTTCATTTCTAAGGAAGTGATCATCTTGAATCGATACAGAGCCAAAATGATTTATAGATAGCCTGATTAATCAGCTTCCAAGTATGGGATGCAGTCTCTTGGCCTGATTACAACCATATTCTCAGGCCAAGTGGAAGTTACCAACTCAAGAAAGAATAAGTTTAGCTATCCAACCAACAAGTAAAACATCTTCAGGCATATCACCCCCTATTTCCTATTCTTTAAGGTAACTGTAACCACAGTAACACTATGTGAACTCAAATGATATTAGTTATATAAAATACATCTATCTTTGTTAATTTTATATTCTGGTGCTTATTTTGTTCCTTCTATTGCTTTATAGAGCTCTGTGACCTAGAAATAACCCTGAGTGGTATACTACTGTTTCTAGACAGGATTATATTCATTCAAACTATTCCTTATTGATGGTGAAATATCTTATTTTAAAAAAGAAGGATCTCATAAAAAAGAATTTCAATTCTAGTCTCAAATGTCAAAATCTATATAGTTTATTTTATTCTCAGAGTATGTACATCATATCTCTGTGTATTTGGAACTAAAATCTCTTTACAGGGTATATTTTTTCTCTCTCCCTCCTTTTCTCCCTCTCCCACTCTCTCAAATGGAAAACTCCAGTTTCTTATACCTTTTTTCTAAAGGACTTATCTTTACTCTGTTAGGTTTAGTCATGTGCCACTCATCAGAGACTTATTATGGATTATATCTCTTTCCTTAGACTCCGTACCCCTCCATTAATCCGGACAGAGAAAGAACTGTCAGACAAAATACAACTGCTAGAGGTAAAGGATGTGTTGACTGGGAAGTATTAAATATCTTGTCCTGGCTTTCTCCCACATCGACTCTATATCTCATCTCGTCAGGCTTTGGGAGACATTGAAATTGCCATGAAGCTGGTGAAGACCGAGCTGCAAAGCCCAGAACACCCATTGGACCAACACTATAGAAAACTGCATTGTGCCTTGCGCCCTTTAGACCATGAAAGTTATGAGTTCAAAGTAAGAGAAATGATCATGTATTTTCATACTTTTAAGACCCACCTCCCCCACCCCACTGTTCTCTGGCTACTTTTGGTTAAGAGCAAACTTTCATATAGATCAGAATTTCTACTTACTAGAATTTGGGAAGATAGAGCTCTTTCTTACTACCTTGCGAGAACATTTGGGAGCTGAAACATCTGTCAGTTTATACCCGAGGCTCTGAAGTTCTTCAGCTCAGCCTGGTCTCTTATAAGAGTCCACATCCCCCATTTCTTTCATTCTTTTTCACAGGTGATTTCCCAATACCTGCAGTCTACCCATGCTCCCACACACAGTGACTATACCATGACTTTGCTGGATGTTTTTGAAGTAGAGAAGGAGGGTGAGAAAGAAGCCTTCAGAGAGGACTTGCCTAACAGGTCTCAGTTTAGCTTTGATTTTGGGAAGACATTCACTTGCCTAAAGTGCAGTTATGGAATTTAAGAGGATGGCAGATATAGCTGTTGGCCTTTTTAGGCTTATGGCCTGTGTTTGCAGGGGAGCAACAGAGAATACAATAATAATGGCTTTTCCTTAGGATGCTGCTATGGCACGGTTCCAGGCTGAGTAACTGGGTGGGAATCCTGAGCCATGGGCTTCGAATTGCACCACCTGAGGCTCCCATCACAGGTTACATGGTGAGTAGAAATTGAACCCTGGAAGGAGGCACAAAGGAAAAGGATACAGTAATTTTCTCAGTTCTTTTTTCTTTCCCCTTTTTATTTTTCCCCAGAATCGGATTAGGTGGTCCCCTGACAAGCATTAAACCAGCTCACTTTTTTATGTCCTTATTTATTTAAATTCCTAAATATACCCATCCTTTCTCTCCAAAAGCAGAGATTCACCACTGCTTCTAGCTTCTCTGGAACATAATTGTCAGGAGAAATAGAAAAAGAGTCTCTATTGTGTTTAAGATGATAGGAACACAGGGTCAGTGGTATGAGCCTCCCTTCTAACATAATAGGTTAAACAGCTGACCTTGGCGTTTATATATTCCAGTTTGGAAAAGGAATCTACTTTGCTGACATGTCTTCCAAGAGTGCCAATTATTGCTTTGCCTCTCGCCTAAAGGATACTGGATTACTGCTCTTATCAGAGGTAAGGCAGGAACACATGATCTCTATTATTAGTTCCTATTTTTCCAAAGAAAAGTTTGACCACAGAACCAAGAGGTTCACCTGGGAGAACTTGAGAGGGGAGCCAAGTACTATTTCCATTGCATTGGATTCTTCTGCTGGAGTATGGGAAGGAAGTACTGGTGGGATTTTCTGTTGGTTTTAGAGCCATCCAATTCTCAGTAGGATGTGGGCATTCAAAGGTGGTTTGCTTTGCAGGTAGCTCTTGGTCAGTGTAATGAGTTACTAGAGGCCAATCCAGAGGCAGAAGGATTACTTCAGGGCAAACACAGCACCAAGGGGCTGGGCAAGATGGCTCCCAATCCTGCAAGCTCCATCACCTTGTAAGTATCCAGAGCCTGGAAGGCCAGAAAACTCTTTTTGGCCAGATAAAACTCTCTGCTTTCTCTATTCCACCTTCTAAACCAGAGGCAGATGTTGACAAACTGTCCTCCATTTGGCAGGAATGGGAGTACAGTGCCCTTAGGACCAGCACATGACACAGGGACTCTGAATCCAGAGGGTTATACCCTCAACTACAATGAATTTATCGTCTATAATCCCAACCAGGTCCGTATGCGATACCTTCTAAAGGTTCGATTTAATTTTCTGCAACTCTGGTAATGTTGATATTAAATAAACCAAAAGAGATATGATCTTCAAGCAAGAAAATAGTGTTGTACTTTTGAATTTTCTCATTTTATGTAATAAAAATAGTACAGATCTACCATTGGCTTCTTCGGGCTTTTCTTCTGCAAGCACAATTTCTTTTAATATTAGTGTATCTTCATTTCTGGGACAGCAGGTATAATTTTTCTGTGTATTCCACAGCTAGCTGCAGGTTACTCAGGATCCTGGGGTTGGTTGGTTGGTTGGTTGGTTGGTTTTATATTAAAGTATAGTTGACATACATACAACGTTATGAGTTTCCGATGTACAACATAGTTATTTCAAATGTTTATATATCTTATGAAGTAATCACCATAATAAATCTAGTAACCATCTGTCACCATACAGTTATCATGATACTGTTGACTGTGTTCCCTATGTTGTACGTTACATCCCTGTGGAGTCCTGTTCTTTCACAGCAGAATAGCCTCTATGCATTGAGGAATACTAATTGAAGCTAATGCTTTTTCCCATTTAATTCAATTTTTCCACAAACTGGAATTTGTTGGTTATTACAGGAAAAGTAGAGGCAACAAAAGCTGAATTGGTCCTTTTTTTCCAATCCATCTCACCTGCCTTTTTCCCGTTTATCAACTGCAGACCAGTGTCAGCTACTGTTCTAAGTGTTTTACACATCTTAACTCATTTAATCCTCACAATATCCCCACAAAGTAGGCACCATTATTGTGCCTGTTTTGCCGATGAAAAAGAAAAGCATGAACTTTGGCAGTCTTGTTCCAAGTCCATGCTTTTAGTCACTTTTTTGCCCAGTCTCTTTAGTTCTTCCCAAGCCTTCTGTGATGAAGGACTAGTTGTTTGTTTCTTTAATTTCTGATCTGTCATGGACCAATATTTTTGTAAAATATTATAAAAATGAGTTACTAGGAAAATGAAATAAAAACCATACAAAATACAGGCCTCAATTTTTATTATTAAATTTGTCAGATATGAGATCACTTTTCAAATTCCTATAACTTTCTAAGTCCTTACTCTCAACTTCTACATTTATCTCATTGTGATCCATTCATAACTACTGGACTGGCACTCGTCCACAAACCAAACTTCAGGAGCTCTGCTCTTGATTTCAAAAACAGATGTATAAAAACATGTATAAAATTTTAGCAGATGAAAAAGGTGCCTTTGTGGATGGGTAGGAGAAGACAAGATCGTTCCAATGTCTTGACATCCAACAATCCAGTGTCTATTATGGAACTCATCCAGGTACTGGGAGACACTGAAATTCTATTTAATGATAAGAACTCAGAAGATGTTTAATGTAAAACCTAAACTGATTTTCTCTTCAACTCTCTTGGGTACATACTGTTTTTTACCTAGAGTCTTTTCTTATCTTCATTCACAGCAATTATACTATGACCTGGCTGTATTATCTCCAAGATAAGAAAGAGAAAACCCTTCAAATGGACCTGGCCGAGAAGGCTGAGTCTATTGAGCAAATTAGTCTTGCTTCATTTTCTCCATCCCCATTCTTCCAGCCTTAGCTGGGGTGTTTTTATAAAATTTTAGAGCATGAAAAACAAATATCTAGGGCTTCCTCCTGTCTCTGTCCCATACTTTCAGGGGAGCAAAAGGCAAAAGACTAAAACCAGCAACTTTTAGGATGATGCCATGCCATGATTCACTGTAGCATTTCTGGGTAGAATTGTAAATCATAAATTTCAAATTACCTTAACTGGGACTTCCAGTCACAAGGTACATGTGGAAGAGGTAGTGTGGAAGGTATATTTAGAGTCCTTGCATGAGGCACATGAAAAAAGATAGAAGCATGACCTATGATTAAGACTTTTATCAGCTGATTTCATTCCTTGTCTTTATCCTCTGGCACAGGGAGACTAGGAGGCATTGGTAGAAATAAGGTACAGTCCTGCAGGTGCTTTTTCCATGTAAAATCTGGAATTAGGGCAAAGTAAGAACAAAACTCAGTACCCATCAACTCCCCAAATCCTCAAAACAATTCTAGACCAGACTGCAGTGGTATTTCTGAGAGAACTCTACCAACCCTACCAACATCCTATAATAGCCCTGACATATCACATACACATCCTTGAATTCTTGGACACAGAAGACCCTTTTCCCTTAGAAAGAAAGGGCCCTCAGGTAACTTTCTCTCCTATAAGGTAGAATTACAGGAAAATAAGAAGGCTCAAGAACTTTTACTTAAGATCACAGACCTTAGTAAGTCTGTAGGTGAGACTGCACCACCTTTTAATCCATTTTAATCTTTGTGGACTTCAGTTTGAAAGAGAGTAAGTTTTGTGATCTCCTCCAAGAATGAAAATTACTATATTAACTTCAAGTCAAGTGGCTGCTGCTACTCTGTCAGAGATTGTGAAAGCCAGGAGACGCAGTCTGCTTTCACTGCCCTGGCTTCTCACCTCCCATTTGGGCAGTTAGTCCTGAGTAGATGGGGCTGTTGCTGTAAGAGGAACCTAGTGTCCTAGTTCTATCTCAGTTCTTTCTAAATGTCCTTACTCAGGACACTATTAACGGAATCTTCCTTCCCTTATTCTTTCTTGACCAAGTGAGAGGTCTCCAGCTCTATTCAAACTAAGTTCTGGCCAATATCACTTTCAATCTTCCTCCTAGCACAAATGGTTATCTTAGGATCCTGGGCCCAGCAAATGATACAAGATTCCTAAAGCCTAGTTTCAACGAATCAACTAAAGATCTGATTATTTTCTTGCAATTCTAGTAAAAATTAATGTTAAATCAGAAAAAAAAAATATTAAAACGTCCATTTTCTTCACTGTTGGTCCAAATGTACATAAGAAACAGGCAGGACTGCACTTGAGATTTTATGACACTTTATTTTTACAATTTTATTAAGAAAGTTGCCACTGATGTCTTCAGGCTTTGCATCTCTAGGACAAATGATATCTTTGCCCTGAGCAGTACATCTTCATTCCCAGGACAGAAAGTATACATTGCCCTGTGTGTCTCCCACTGCGAGCTGCAGGGTAGAATTCGGCCCCTGCCAAGGTTCCAGGCAGCTCACTGCCCCTTCGCACCGGAACAAGCCCAGCTGCAATGGGTACAAAAACAAGGGAGATGAGGGCCACAAGCCTAGGGCCTCCTTACTAACTCATTTTTCTCTCACATTAATGCAGTATCTATTAACGTTTTCTCTCATTTACTTAGAACAAGTGAGTAGCACATTATTGCAAGGATAGAAGAAAACAGAATTTTGATGTTTTGTACTTTCTTATCCCAAATTTGCTCTCTTGTGACAACCTTTCTGCCCTCCTTGTATGCAAAAACACACACATGCACACACATGCACACACACACTTACCAGTTGCATACTGGGTCTCTCCCACAGCTTAACATCCTTGTCCTTTGAAGCTGTCACCAGCAACTCAGGAAGCACATGGAGGGCTGTGACAGAGCCCGAGTGAATCTCAGAGAGAAAGGGGAAGCGTGTGGTGAGTTCTCAGTGGGCCCTCCTCAGTCAAGAAAGCATCAATTTGATGGGTCAGACCCAGAGCTTCTTCCCCTATATTTGTGACCCTTCCCTCAAACTCACCTTTCTACGCTGCCATGTCTTTAGAGGTAGGTTTGTTGGCCAGCTATCCACGTCACTATCTATAAATAGGTCTGTCCCTGGAGTTTGGGTTTCAGGCATTTTTACTGTTTTCTGCCAGATGTTACCTGTGGTCCATTCTCCTTCAGGGGTACATTTGGCTAGTTTCCAAAGCACTCCATCAGAGCTGGCACACAAAAGCGAGGACTCTGCCATTTCAAGGGCAGAGTCAGAGTTAGGTCTCAGGCTGCGAAAGATCCACCATCTTCCCCTAGGCCACCTCTGGACCCCCTGGGCACTCCCATCACCACTCACCAGATTCAGGTTTGGCCTGAGTTACCGATATTAGGGTCCCACTAGGATTCTCTAAGTTCAGTTCAAAGTTCAGGTACACTTCAAACTCTCCAGATTCCTTTTGTCTCTGTGAAAGGATAGATCATTTTGTTTAGCCTACTCGTATCACTTAACTCTGCCCAGACAAATCAACTATCTTCTGCTCTGGATTTTTTTTTTTTTTTTTTTTATGTAATTTAGATACAGTAAACCCCCGGGGCACAGACTGGAACCGGGCCATGGCCTGTTAGGAACTGGGCCACACAGCAGGAGGTAAGCAGCGGCAGGTGGGCGAGCGAAGCTTCATCTGTATTTGCAGCCGCTCCCCAGTGCCAGCATTACCGCCTCAGCTCCACCTCAGATCAGGCATTAGATTCTCATAGGAGCACCGGTTCCTCATGCCCAAAAGATTGGGGACCACTGCAGTAAAGTACACAGATCTTAAACATACACCTCGATGAATTTTTTCACATATAATTACATCCATGTTATCACCACCCAGATCAAGATGTAGAGCATTTCCATCACCATGGAAAGTTGCCTTCATGCCCCTCCCAAGTCAATCCCAAGGCACCACAACCCCAGAGCTAGCAACATTCTGACTTCTGTCACTATAAATTCATTTGGCTTGTTCTTGAACTTCATTTAAGTGAATTCGTGTAATATATACTCTTTTGTGTCTGGCTCCTTTCACCCAACATAATGTCTATGAGGTGTGTCTGTATTTTTCCAGATACTGCTCATACTCACAGTGGCAGGAAAAGAGACATGAAAAAAAATTGCAGTTAAGAAGACTCCTAGATTTATGGTTTCTCGTGATTTTTTTAAACGCTAGAATCCTTTGTATGAATGAGAAATCTTAGTGGGAAACCCAAACTATAATGCTCTTAAGCAGAGCAGCTCCAGTCGAAGGAAGAGAAGGGGATTTGGAACCAGCTGCCTTTCCCTTCCTCTTATCCTCCACCAGGCCTCCAAAATTTTAAAGTGATGGTTCTGAACAAATGTTTGTTTTAACACACACCCAAACATGACTTACCAAGACAGAAAGAATGTCAGGGTCCACTGGCTGCAGGACAAACACACCATACTCCTGGTGGGTAGACACTAAAATAGGATTCTCCAGGATATAGCTGTCCCTAGTTTATAAAAAATAAAGAGGCTGAGCCTACGAACACCTCTCCGTAAGAC